AAACTTAAAACTAGATTTGAACTAGTCACTGAGGACGAGTTTGGTGATCCGCTGCACTTCGACCCTCAGGAATGGCTTAAAATATGCTTTAGTTAGATTTTAAAAAAGTGTAATTTGAAAAATTTTAAAAGATTTACGCTTGCGTACGCAGAGGCCAAAAAATGTAACAAACCGTAATTTCCAGCTTCAGTACGTGCTGCGTGCGTAAAAATGAGCATACGGTGGATAAATTATGGAAAGTTTTGCAATGCTGAAAATGTCCTAAAACGTGCTTTAAATTATCTGAATAGTGATGTTGAGAATTTCTAAATTTTGCCGCACACACACCGACGTGCGCGTGGACGGTAATAGCACACGAAATTGAACCTTGTCAAGTTGGTAATGCCACACAAAGTTTTCCAGACTGTCAGTCTGATAGCGTCGAAATACACTCTGCCACCCTCTCTGTTGTCAAATATTTTTGACAAAATTGAAGAGAGATAAGAGGGCTCCAAAAATTCATTCTTTTTGACCATGATGACATTGTCAAAATAAAAAATGAAGGGACACTTCCGAAAGCCGTCAATTTACTGGTAAAAATAAACGGCCGACCGGTAAAAATTTTCTTGGTTTAAAAAAAAAAATACCACTGAATTAGGCCTACCTCGAGGCCTAGCCCGAGTCCTTCTTCAGGACTCGAATCATACATTAGCTATAATTTATCTCCGGTTTTACCAACAAAACTTACAAACCTTGATTAAAAACCACAATACTGTTCGTTGACAAGACAGCGATGAATGACCTCTCGCAAACTTTTGATCGATCAACTCGTAAAAACAAGCAAGCATCGAAAAACTTTCATCTTTCCCTTAAGCGATTCTAAATTGACTTGGTCTGAACATATTGAAAAATTAACTGGTAACATCTCTAAACGCATTGGTGTTATCCGCCGTGTTAAATATTTTTTACCCCAAAATACTCTTACAGTGTAAGATGTTGGCTAATGCTCTAGTTATGCCTCTTTTTGAATACTGTAATTGTGTTTGGTCCAACTGTAATATTACCCTTTCAAATTCTCTTCAAATACTTTTAAACAGATTAGGAAGAATTTTAATTTCTGCTGACATAAAAACCCCCGAACTATTGTAAATATTTTAAGTTCATTGGGGTGGAGTAAACTTAGTAATAAATGGGACGAACAATTGCTCATAATGATTTTCAAATGTTTAAATGGTCATGCTCCATCCTATTTATCTAAGAATTTTGCTTTTAATTATGATTTGCATACGCATTGTACCCGCAGTCAAAGTAAAAACACTCTTATTGAATACACCTGGAATAATATGCAAGGTAATTTTTATTTTTTTTATTTTTTTATTTTTTTTTAATTTGTAGTTAAGTTTTTACTCTCTTTGTTATTTTCTGCTTTTAAAATGTTTATGTAGATAAGAACTGAACCACTTTGGAAATCAGTACTATGTATTGAAAGTGTATATTCAGTATAAAGAAAGAATAAATAAATAAAATTAAAAAAAACGGCAGGAATTTGTGCAATAGACTCGTAATCCAGACGAACTGGTGGAGTAGTATTGTAGCAGTTTTTCAATACGTATGGAATGAGAGTCTGAGTTGTATAAAAAAATTCCTGTAGCTTAGACGGACTCTCGTTCACAAAAGTTTTCCAATGAATTGTTCGCTCTGGAATCAATCATGAAGAAATGAACTGGCCAAGCCAGACTGGAGGCGTTTTTTACGAAAAGGTTGGTAATGTTTACTGAGTTTAAATTATCTTTGAGAATTTCTTAGTTTATTTGATTTAATATGCCTAAATTTCCCCGATTCTTTAATGAATAGCCGATTACAAAACAACCACATTACTGTAAAATTAGTGGCTCCTACCTATATAACTGTCCAAAGCCCAAGTGATATGCAAAGTAGAAAGGCTACTAAGTAGATAATGCTGTAATTAATAATAATAAAACGTATCAACTAGCGCCTTTTTTAATCTCACTTTCAGGCAAGGCATGCCCTTGACAGGCGCTTTTTGCAATTTTAGGGCAAAAGGATCACTAGGCCTAGCTTAGAGTAGTAGTTTATGGCCTGCGTGTGGAATGTAGACCTTTCCTTCGCGCAATAATTTGGCCTAGAAACCCGTCTGCGCATCTTGCAAAAGGAGGGCCGATTGCTGCTCAGATTTTGCCGAAAATTATGCTTTGATCTTTAATATATAACCAATGCAATTATGCAGCAATTACGATTACGCGCACACCTATTTTCCTAGCGATTTTTAGGTACGGTATCCTTCGCGCAATTAAACTTTAGAGTGTGGTCCCTGTGTAGGCTGCAGCAGAGTACATCGTTATTAATATTATTATTACCTTATTATTATTTACTTTAAAACGTACCTGCCTCTATGCTCAGCTGTCCATACTTAATCCAGGAAATTGAGATGCCAGCAATATTATTTATGTTGTAAAAACCAATGATATGGTGCATGATGTTATGAGAAGTGAGCTTGCATTATTAAATCCATTGATAGAACACTCTCAGTCTGGTCCTTTTTCACTCCCTTCATTAGTCTTTTTGACAGTGTTAAAAGTAAGTTCACAATGAAAAATTTACTTCAAAAAATTGTTAAAGATCATACTTCAGTGTTGTAAAATACTGTCTAAATGCAGCTGAGAATGCACCAGAAAGCATATACAGTAGTACTCTAAAGCTTCCGAACTCCACCCGGAAGGGCTGGCGCCACACGCGCTGCGCGCATGGCAAGATTACTTACAACTGATTTACCAGAAAAAATGTTTTAATTGGGAGAACACTGCAGGGGCTTAGGCCTAAATCCTGAAAAACAACTATCAAAGCCAATGACAAACGTCGGTTCGATTAACCTTGATTAGGCCAAGTAAAAAAAAAAACATGTTTCGCGTCCCCGCCCGCATCGTTTTTTTTCCAATTTTTTAATTTGTATTTTTGGAAAATTCATGAAAATAAAGAAAAAATATATCGAAAATTTAGAATTAAATGTTGGAAAATAAATACCCTAGCCTAAAATAGTGCAATATCTTCGTCTAACCTTTCGTATAGTAAAGCTAAGCCTAGGCTAGCCCAATATCTCTACCTAGGCTAGCCCGATATCTCTAGGCTAGGCCTGGCCGTCGCCTACTCTGGGCGTCAGGCGGCAAACCTCGAGTTCACTTCACTAGAGCGCGTTTGTCATGCATACAATTGCCGTATTCGATTGGGACTATACGTTGAGTATGTTATCCCGTTGAGTACAAAACTCAATGATAAATTCCGAGCGTTAACTTCGTCGAGCAGTTTCCGTTGAGCAGAGCACGAAAGTCCCAATCGAATACGGCCGATGATTTTCGATGAATTCTGGAATTTCCGTTATACTGGCCCTCTATGTCAGATTGTATGGAATAGTTTCATGTGAAGACGTCTGAGACGTACTGTAACATCGGGAACATTCCGATTGTATACAGTAACAATGATTCCTAAATGCGACTAGTAAACCGAGGCTATGTCTTTCATGGAACTAAATTTAAACTTTCAAATACAAAGAACAATAATATATATACCTTGTTATTTATTTTTTATTTACACATTTTTTTTAATGGACATTCATTTCATTGGAGATGAAATAACTAAACATTCTTTTTTTTTCTCTACATGCCATACCAATTTAAGAGTTAATTACCATACTATAATACTACATTTTATTACTAGACTCTAATTCTGCTAAACTATTTAGTTGTTTTAATAAATTTCATAAACAATTTATAAGTAAACAAGTGATAGACATGCAGAGCCAGTGTGTGCAATTATATCTAAAATAGATTTTTTTTATATTTAAACTTTGTAACCAGTACCTATATTGCAATATCATCACTGTGAATAGAAAGATTTGTAAAGTTTTCAAGACACTCAACAATGAAAAACACCTTGCCAATATTAAACTGTAGATGTTTTCCATTCTAGATTTTACTTTCTGTACATATGCCAAATATCTGTAAAAGAAAAGTTTACTTAGTTTTCACCATAATACTGTACTTACTAGATTTAATAGATAAGCCAAAGCTGTACTATATAGTTGTTTAATATATTTCATAAAAATGATGTATACTCAGGAGTGAATGTGCGCAATTTTAATGTGTTTGATTCAGGTTATTTTACAACTTTACCTTACATACTGCAATGCCAAGTCTGTGAATAGAAAAAAGCTTATAATACCCAACACTCTTGCCAAATAAACAGTATACAGCTTTTAATCTTGTGTGATGTCTTTTTATATGTTGAACAAAACTAGACGGGAAATGTCAACAAGTCTGTAGAATGGCGGCCATTTTGAAAAATAAAAAATAAAAAATAAAAAAGGCCTCTTCCTCAATTTAAAAAAAAAGCCGGACGTGATACATGTTTTATTTTTTTACTTGGCCTTACGACAAGAAGGTTAAAAAAGATGGTACTGCATGATGCCACATTTTGTTGTCGGATGTTTCATGGGAAAATTCCAATTAAAATTATAATAAGACTGGCCTTTAATGGTTTCAAAATTTAAGAATTGACTCGGACATTCTGGCAATTTCTTACTTGATTGCAAAAAAGTACAGCTCATCCAGCTAGCAAGCGCGGAAACCCTGTTGTTGTATCAACCTATATATTTATATTTATTTATTTTTTTTTTTTGTTGAAAACATATAGGCCTAGGGGCCTAGCCTATTTTATGAGTGGTTTAATCATGTAAAATGTTTTATAATTATGTGTTGTGACTGTGAGAAGAAAATTCAGGTAAAATAATTAAGAATTAAAAGTAAGGTGCGAAAGCGCATTAGCGCCGGCCTAGATTAGAGCACGTCAGGTCAGGCCTAGCCTAGCTTAGCCTAGGCCTAGCCTATCCTGCCTGCTAGCCTGTAGGTTAGGCTAGGGCCGGCCTAGGCCTCTAGCTAGGCCTACCCTAGGCTTAGATTATAGGCATGGCATATAGTTTTATTATTCCTATTCGTTTACGGACTTACCTCCTTGGATTTCTAACCGGAAAAGACAGATCTAGACTTTGAAGCCATTTATGAACATCTCGAGGAAGGGAAACCATCCTGGATCACTTACGTTGTGCAGATGGATGGGAGCGAACGCAAAGGCCTTAGCCAGGCCCTAGTAACCAATGTGTTTACAGTATCAAAGCAAAGAGTATAAATAGAACAAGAGAGCAAAGTCCCGTTCGTAAAAACGTCATGCCTGTGTAAGACGCCCACTAACGGTTGTATATTCTTTTTATTACCCAGTGCAGCGCTGCGCAGCGCGGTAGAAGTACGCCCGCTATAAACTCAGTAAGCAGAAAACAAAAGGTACAGTATCTTGTGGAGAACAGATAAACAGACAAACCTACCGTGCGCGGTGGAGTCTATGGTAATAAAACACATACAAGCGTTAGTTGGCGTCCTACACTAGCTGCGTACTCGGCCACAAGTCAACTCGGCCACAAGTTATTTATACTTAAAATGAAATGTAAATATTACAGTTTCTGCATCCTTTTTCTTCAATATGATTAAAATGAAGTACACAGTATATTTTAGTAAAATTCTGATCATCGTCGTGAGATCGTTGACATACATTTCTTCACACTGTACTCTTATTCAACAGAGAAAACCCGCCACTTACAGAATGGAATAAAATCTGACAATTGTATACATTAATAATTTAAGCAATCTTAATAATTAAGAAAAACACATGTTTAATTTACTCACGTTAAAACAGTGACATAAAACATGAGTACATACTGTAGACCTAATTATAAAAAATTCAAATAGGAAAACCACATTATGATTTTTTTTTTAAATGTTAAAAATTTATTTTGAATCCGACTAAAATCAAATGAATGCACGATGGCGTGCATTTGGATACTATTTTCTTCAGAACCACGCCCAAGAATTAGGCCTACGTTAAAATTAGGTGGGGTGCAGCATCTAGTATCAATATCCACATAGGAACAATAGTAGGGCCTATTGTTGAGTGACAGACTTCAGTCCTTCATATTTGTTCGACCATTGGGGGCTATGTTTGAAACTCTTCAATGACAAGGATGCATCTAATGACGTGAATCACCAGTGACATGTCGGTCCTTTTCAAATATTTACTTTAATTAATAATACTAATTAATAATACTAATTATGACTAATTAGTATTATTAATTAGTATTATTTACTTTAATTAATAATACTAATTAGTCATAATAACGATAATAAAGGTGATAACAACAACAATATTAATAGTAATATTTATTTTAACAATACTAATAGTAATAATACGGTAATAATAACGATATTTAAATATCTATTTTAATAATATTAATTAGCGATAATATCATTGAAGGTGATAATAGCAATAATAACAGCAATAATAAATTAAAGATAACGTTTATTTTTATAATAATAGTAAAACTAATTAGTAATAATAATAATAATAATAATTATGATACTTATAATACTAGGCCTACTTAGTAATAATAGGGTAATATATCGATAATAAAGGTGACAACAAAAACAACAAAAATAATAATAATAATAATAATAATAATATGAGAAAAATACCAATAAAACACCAATAACAATATTTTTAAAATTACTATTATTAAAATAATAATACTAAGACCAAATATATAATAATAATATGAATTTTAAAAAATCGAGAATTTTGTATTATTTATATGGTAACAATAATAATATCAGCAAAAATTTAAAAAATGTTAATGTTAAGACTAATAATTAATATTAAAACTAACGGTAATAAAAACAAAAATAATAATAACAACAATGACACCAATAATAACAACAATAATAATAATTGTGGCCGAGTTAACTTGTGGCTGAGTTGACTTGTGGCCGAGTTGACTGCAGCCGAACTTTTTGTGGCCGAGTTGATTTGTGGCCGAGTTGACTGTGGCCGAGTTGACTTGTGGCCGAGTTGGATCGAATTCGAGCACTCGCACGCATAGTAAAAATGAGGCGGAAATCGTGCCCGGCGTAGGCGGCGCCCTTCTTTTTAACCATGCAAGTTTTCTATACTTCGTGCCCGACGTACAGGGCGCGATTTTTTTTTCCGTACGAAACATTTGCATGAAACTTTATTCGGGCCATCTCGGATTGACTCGACTCGAGTTCGATACGAGGAACAAGAGCAGACACTTCGCAATGTCGTGACGCTCGAGTTTTACTTTTATTGCTCTTTCTATGTTTACCTACGGTGGGCCTATGAAATCTTACGGATTTATGGGATGTACGTGTGTAACTAACTGTGAATTTCTTGTATGTTATTAAATGTTAGTATAACATCTACAACAACAGCTAGTACCCCTCCTTTATAAAG